AGAAGCAGGAGCAGCTGTTACATTCTCAAGTCCTATCCTCAAGAGAACATCTCTCTTGCTGCTGTTTTATGGGGGTGGTGGGGGGAGCAGCAGCAGCTATAGAATGTTAGGGACCCCATTCCCAAAGCCTTGGTTACATTCACCAGCTCTACTTGGGGTGAAGGAGCAGGGCTGGCATCAGACTCTGCAGAGTTGACTAGTGTTTGGTGTCAAGTAAGTTTCGTTTCACTTTCCTGGGAGCTTGGGCCAGTGGGGTAAGGGATTCTCCTTGAAAGAAAGTAGCAATAGTGCACGGCTTGTTATCTGGCTACAGCGGGAGGAGTTCAGGGAGGCCTTGGAGCTGGAGAAGGGAGCTGGATAATGGATGATCTCATGCATTGGGAGTATCAGGCACGGGTGTGGTTGGTACCAGGACACGTAGGTATAACCACCAATGTCACTTCTGCTTTTAGAGCAGGGAATGGTGACCTGTCTCAAGAGCTACACTGACAGTGGCTATGTCGGGACACACTGGACCCAGGACCCTGAGAGGAGAGGTCAAGGTCATGATTCCAGAGTAGTTTGGGGCACAGAGAAAGAAGGGTCAGCTCTGAACTGCCAGAAGGTCCCCTCCTTGGTATATTTCCCATATGAGGAGGATGAGCAGGACAGAACAGAGCCCAGGTCGTGGAGGAGACCCCTTAGAGCTATGCCTCCTGTGGTCCCTCCCCCTTCTTATCCTCTGCCTCCCATGTGGGAGGGGCCTCCACACACATCTGCTTCCCAGATCTTGCAGGTGACACCCCATGTGCAAATTTGCTTGGGGATCTTTCTGAATTTCTCCCTAGGAATATTACACCATCCCCTCCCCCACCCTGAAAGACCTAGTAGGGTCCATAGACTTGCTGAGTCCCAAGACTGTGGTGGGTGATTGTTAACCTAAAGGAAGGCTCCTGTTCTCTGCCCGTGTCCCTGACCTGGTCCACTGCTGCCATACATAGAGTGGGATGTCCTGATTTTCTGGTGACTTCTCTAGGCACACTCCTGTTAGGCTGCGTAAGTCATGATCATAGGAGCCCTAGACTAGGAGCCAGGGCCTTGTTCTCATGTCACCTCCCGTTGCCTGCTCTTGAGACAAGGGGCAGGTGACTCTTTCAAGCCTCAGATACTGGACATGGAAAGGGAATATCAGTTTACGCGCTCTGCTGACGTTTTGTGTCTTTGAAGAAATAATGAGACTAGGACAGTGAAATGCTTTGATAATTCCTTAATTCTACCAAACAAAAGGAATTATTTGTACTCATCATCATGATTAAGAATCCAGCTTCAAGGTCACAGTTTTAGGCTCCCAGAGAAGTGTAAATGAAGAACATGGTTGTGACAAAAGGATGACGATGTCTCAGAGGGAGCAATGCAGGGAAAAAACATCTTCACACTAAAGGAACTCTCTCAGAGAGAGGTCCTGACAGAGAACGCAGGAAGGATGAAACCTTGGAAGCCTGTCCAGACTTAGAAAGCAGCACAACTGCTCACCAGGGCGTGGAAATGATTCTCACTCTGCATCAGGAGTTCTATGACCAGAAAAACCACAAGCCACATTTAAACTGCTCTTGACAGCTTTCTACAAAGACACAAAACAGTTTAATTCTTGACATTCAAAATCACAGTGTATTAAATAGTAATTGTATTGTTTTATTTGTTTATTTATAACTGGTAGTAAGATAGTTCTTAATGTTTTGACAAAACCGTAACGGCCATCATATCTAGCTTTGGCTATGGATTATAGGATTGCTTGGCACAGCTTGAGCTGGCAGTGTATATTTTTTGTGTCCTGCCCTATAGTGCAAAGCAAGATCAGCCTGTGATTAATTTATTTTTCAGCTCACTTGTTTTTTTTATCTGTGTGCACAAATTTCATTTGTGTGCTTCATATGTGAGGCATTCGAGGTTCATGCCTCAGAGATACTCTAAGAGGAGGACCGTGAAATTTTCATTAGGTATCCCTCCCGGTCACCCAGAATAGCAGTTGGATGTACACTGGGCCCTCGGTAAATATTTGTTTTGTTTTTTTGTTTGTTTTAATAATTCAAGGGCTGAAGAGAGAGGTGGAGTCTGGCTTTGGCAGGAGGGAATTTACTGTCCTGGAGATGTCCCTGTGAATGTGTCCACTCCGTCCAGTGCCTCCCGCCAGCCGTCAGCACAGGACGTAGAGGGTTTTCCTGTCAAGCAGGAAGCCAGTGCTTCTGTAGCCCCGAGGCTGATTGCACCCCCTCCAGTGCAACGAATTGCAGTGGACCATGCTGGGTAGCCTGTGGTACCTGGTCTTGTGCTCAGCCACAGTGACCTCCCTCTGGCTGGGTAACAAGGATGCAGGACCAGACCCCATTCTCTTTTCCTTTCCTTTCTTCAGAAGCACAATTGCACAGTCTGATGAGGCCGTGATGAGTCTGAAGTGCAAAAATCACGAGGAGCATCCCTGTCCAGGGCTGAATGCCAAGGCTAGGGCCTCCCTCTTCCCCCCAGGGTTGTCCAGCCTGCGGGCTGTATGCTGCCCAGGATGGCTATGAATGTGACCCAACACAGAATCATTACTTACCACCTTCTTTTTGCTCATCAGTTTTCATTAATGTTTGAGTATTTGATCTGTAGCCCAAGGTGCCAAAATGTTGGACACCCCTGCTCTAAACCTTTCCTCATCTTTGTGTCCAGGACTAGTGCTCACTACTCTCTCCCCTTTGCCCTGGACTCTCCATTGGCATGACCATGCTTTTGGGGTTGGGGGATAGCCACTGGTGCCTCACCCAGGCCAGGGCAACCGAAGCCAGGCCCTCAGAACACTCCCAGCCCCCGGGTTCAGGCCCACGAAGTCCTTCCTGCTTGCCCCCCACCCCCACCCCTGTGGTCTCAGACACCAGTGTCTAGCATTTAAGGGATGTGGCACTGTCAGAACTAGAAAACTTGGCCCCTGCTTTGTCATCATTTTCCTCCTTCCTGTCATTCTATGCTCCTCATGTGTTCTCTGGACCATTCCCTGCCTAGCTCCTCGTTCTCTCATTCCCCCAAACTACTAGCCTGGAGTTAGCCCTCAGCCCCCCCTCCCCCCACTGCGCCTCTACAAGCACCTCCCGTGGCATTAACAGGCTAGACCCTGGGTGACCTGGAAGTCAGGCCTGTACACTTTGGGAAGGAAGGAGGGGGGACAGTCCCTTGTTTAGGTCGACATGTTACCGGATCCGAAGTGAAATCAGGTCTTGCTGAGAACAGGAAGAGCAGGTCATGTCGGCAAAGACTGGGTTTTTAAAAGGCATGGAGGGCAGAGTATTTCAGGGTAAGAAGCGTCCTGACTCCAGAGGGAAAGAAGCCAGGGGGAATCTTGTCTGCTTGAAGGCTGGGGTAAGAGAGCCGAGGATGGGCAAGCCTGTGCATTGGGGCCGGTCCCCAGCGCCTCCAAAGGCCGGCAACGTTGGGGCGTCCTGTGGAGTCCAGGAAGGGTTGTCCTCAGCATTGCTGGTGCGACCAGGATTTTGTCACGCAGCTGGTCATGTTCTCCAAAACAGCTCAGAAAAATTGGGGAGAATTCCTAATTTCTGTTAGTAGCAGTGGAACGTGTTCCCCTGTATCATGGCCACACTTCAGGCTCGTAAGAGGTGGGCTGACATTCCAGGGATGCAGAAAGAAGGGGGACAGTCAGCACAATCCAGGAGAGGGAAAACAGCATTTTAAAGACACCCCCCCAAAAAAAAGTTCCCAAAGGCAGATGTTTTGGGAGCTGGAGAAGTTGGGGTGAGCAGGAAGGCCCCGTTTTTGAGTTCAGAGTTTGGGCTTAGGTGAGGATCATGAAGAGAGCAAGTGGCAGGTGACCAGGATGTGGTGAAAACATCCCCCAATCCATGCTAGGCCCTGGGAGTCATCTTGTGCCTGTCCCGGGCAGGAAGACATTCAGAAGGACCAGTGTGCAATTCATTAACGCATGGGGATGTCCCAAAGTGTGGCATATCCTTAATGCCACATATAGCTTCAAATGGTGTGACAGGGAGGGTGTTGGTGCCTGTGCACCGTGCCTCATTCTGAGAGAGAGCACTTGAGTTTCATTCATCCCTGATTGTGCTCTTCCCTCACAGTCAGTGACTGAGAGAGACTTTGGGGCAGCAGGGCCAGAAGAGACTTTCTGAAGCCAAATTTGCACCAATTATTCCCCAGCGTTGAGAAAACGTAGGTTATCAATACACAGTTGGGAAGGGGCCTTCAACAGTCATGTTCTGGGCCAAGGCCCCTGGACCATGCCCGGGCCTGGTCTGCCTGAGAAAGGTTGGGGCGGGGAAGAGGATGCCTGGGCCTAGGAGAAGGTCCCGTCTGGTAGCGGTTCCCTGGGGAGGATGCGTGCTTTGGCCTACGTCACTTCTCTCTGTTCCAGGATTCCAAAGACCCAACCGCTCTTACCCTTCAGTGACCTTCAGGATTGGATGAGTCACATCCCAGGTTTAGTCACCAAACGTTTCTGGCCTCTTCCCAGCCCACATTTTTACATTGAATCTTAAGCCAGTTTGCTGAGCTGATCTGGTCCTTTTGGGAGGGAGGAGGATTGAATCTCTTCCCTTCCCTCACTGTCACCTGGGGTTTAAGGGATCCAGCTAGTTTCCTTCTTAACCACTACCCTTCTAAGTTTTCAGGTTCATCCACATCAAAGCCTTTGAATTCCCCCAAGCAAAACATACTTTACCTTCTCTTGGGTGATTCCCTTGTCCCATTACAAACTTGCGGCCCCTCCTTTCGGCCAGCTCCTAATCAGAATTTGGCCGGACCTCCTAAAGGGAAGCCTTGACCCTCGAAATCTGGAAAGTCACCGGTTTCTCCGTCGTGCCTCTATTCCTCTTTGCGTGGGCACACGCTTTGCAGTTTTCTAGGTAACAAAGTGTAAGTGCCTATTTGATATTCAAGAATTTTGTTTTTTATTTCCTTTTCTTTTGGGGTGATACCACAGTTTGCTTAAAGCATCTTCACTCGAACATTTGGAAGTAGTCATGTGGCCCAAACGCTCCCGAGTATACTTACAGGTTGGTTGAATTTCTTTTTCTTTCACAAATGGACATAGAATTCAGTTAGTCGTATGAAGAGTGAAAAACCAAGCGGGGTTAACTGGGTAGAGATCCAGAAATAAGGTTTTGCTTTCAGTTAGAAGTTGAAATTTCAGCTGGGACCTCAGAAGGAAGGTGTGGCCAGAAAGGGCTGCAGTTGCTTCTGAGGAGCCGGAGGAGGGACCAGAGGCTGGCCCGTGAGAGTCGCTGCCGAGGGCTGAGCAGAGGGCTCCCTGCAGCATGCCCCCTCTGGTGAGTCCGGAGCTTCAGGTGGTCTCCAAGGACCTGCAGGCCAAGACTGCACGGAGAATTGTCCTTTTTGTTCTTACAAAGAAGCAGGCTTGGCTTCTGCCTCAAAAGGCAGTTTTGCCTTAATCTCAAACATATTTCGACTTCTCATTCTGGTATATGCCATTTTTATAGATGTTTACAATGCAGGTTTCCCCTGCTATCTGAAAGTAGAACAATCCTATGAAACCTTTTGTAAGCTGAAATGGCAAGATCCTCTTTGAATTTCCTTTGGTTAGCGAAAACAGGCACTAGGGTAGGCCTTTCATAAAAGCAAAGTGATCTAGCACGAAGTTTTGGGAAGTGGGGAGTGATACCTGTATTTCTTAACCAGGCAGATTTTTAAACAAATACATCCAATTCATTGGAAATTTTTGGTGATATTTAAACTATAAAGTTTGTAACCAGTAGTTAATGGTTCATATCATTTATGGTTTTATAATTTTATTAGCTAATTAAAATATAAACAAAAACAAAAAACCTTAAGAACCTAGAAAAAGTCCCATAATTTCTTTTGCAGTGGGGGCTTTGTTCTGCGCTCTGTTCCCATGAACACAGTGGCAATTCTGACATTCACAGAAGAGACACAATAAAACATCCATCCCGGAATCAATGTATATTTTTCTCTTCTCCAGCTTTCGTGTGCTATATAATACTATTATGCTGCTTTTACAATTTCTCATTTAAAATGTTTTAAATGACATACTGGTAGCCATCGTGTAGGTGTTCCTTCATCTTCCCCATCTGGATTATTTGTTGGAGCCCAGAAAGAGGCCATGCTGGACCCCTTGCTGCTCCTTATTATAGTTGTTGTCAGTCTCAGAGTGACGATCAGAAACTTTTCTTCCTGCAAAGGGTGGGATCAGCTCTAGGGCTCCTCAGTACTCACTGCGCCGCAGAATTAAATGCAGCCAGTGGGTAGGTGTGGAATGGGGCTGCTGGTCATCTTGTCCCTCCTGGCAAGATGCTTGCCCTGCCACTGGCAAAGGCAGAGCTGTGGCTTTTTGGCCCCCAGGCAGAAAGTGGAATCTGGGTAAATGGAGGACCCCTCCGCCCCGCCGACTGTTGCTGGAGCGGTGCCTTTGGCCCTTAGCTGGTTCCTCTGAAGGGTGGAGGGGCAGTGGGGTTGCTCACGCTCAGCCTTGCTCCCCGGATGTCTCCCCAGGATCTGTTTCAGAGCAGATTCATCAGGATGAGCCTCCCAACCCCACGCAGACTCCTGGAACTGGCGTGTCAGAGTCTGCTGAGGGATGAGGCCTTGGCCATGAGTGCTGTGGAGATGCTGCCTGCAGAGATCTTCCCACCTCTCTTCATGGCGGCCTTTGCTGGGAAGCATGATAAGATCTTGAAGATGATGGTGCAGTCTTGGCCCTTCCCCTGCCTCCCCCTGGGGGCCTTGATGAAGGATCAGCAGCCTCATCAAGAGACCTTCCAGGCTGTGCTTGATGGACTCGATGCCCTGCTTGCCCAGGAGGTTCGCCCCAGGTGAGGGGGATTCACAGCTCAGTAGGGCCTCGGAGATCTGTGCAGATACAGTGGGGATCAGGGAGAGTGCAGTGCCAAAGGTAGAACCAGAGGCTTCGGATGGCATTAGTGAGAATGCTCAGGGAGGCCTGGGAACCATTGCTGAGGTCATTGTGGAAAAAGGCTTCTAGACATTACAGGGCTGACTAAGATGCAGAGGTGACCAAAGTAACATGGGCACTTAAGGGTACCAGAAATGGGGAGCAGGAAGAATGTTAGTAGTGCGAGGAGCAGCTGATTTCTTGGGTATAGAGTAAAAATGCAGTCAGGTATCTGATCCAGATGCCCAGGTTCCTTAATTCGTGGTCATGGTCTTATTCCCTGTTATCTTACCATGTCTCTGTTTGTCTCCTGTTTCCCGCACAGGAGATGGAAGCTGCAGGTGCTGAATTTACAGAAGGATGCTCATCAGGAGTTCTGGACCGTGTGGTCTGGAACCAGAGCTGCTGCATGCTCACTGATGGAGACGGAGACCACCCAGTCTGTGGGGAAGAGGCAGAAAGTGGAGAGTTCAAGGGCAGGGTCCAAACCACCCTTGGCCCCTGTGGAGGTGTTCATAGATCTTAGTCTGAAGGAAGGTGCCCCTGATGAGTCCCTCAGCTACCTCATTAAGAAGGTTAGTCAGGGGAGAGGTTTGCTGCACCTTTGCTGCAAGAAGCTGAAGATTTTTGCGGTGTCGATGCAAAACATCAATATTCTCAAGATGGTGCAGCTCGACTCTGTCCAGGATTTGGAAGTAAATTGTACCTGGAAGCCATCCACCCTGAAGAAGTTCGTTCCTCAGCTGAGCCAGATGGGCAATCTGCGCCGGTTCCTTCTCTCCCACATCCTTACGTCTTCTCACGCCACCCCGGCGCAGGAGCAGCAGTGTGTTCGCCAGCTCACGTCTCAGTTCCTCAGCCTGCACCACCTCCAGGAGCTCTGTTTAGATGCTCTCTCCTTCCTTGAAGGCCGCCTGCACCAGGTGCTCAGGTGAGAGATGGCGGGGCTTCTCTGCAGACCAGACCAATCCCTTTTCATTTCAGTCAGCACTAACGGTATCTCCTGTGTGCCTGCCGTCAGCATGCAGCGTACCTGAGTCACTCGACGGTCCACACAGTCCGTGTCTTGTTCACTGCTCCATTCCCTTGCAGGTTGTCTTTGCTAGGAATCTCTGTAATGGGGGCCTCATCAGGCCAGGTGAGGGTAGCTGTGGGAATTCTCCCCTTAGGAAATGATGGCTAAGTGAAGATGATGGAGAAGAAGTAAGTGAGGATGGCAGTGATGAAGGGAAGGCCCATCAGAGGCAAGGTTTCAGATGTTAAGCTCCGTACTTAGCAATTTGTCGATAGGAGCTTCTCACTTTGATCCTGCCTTGAATTGCCCGCCCAGGGTTCTTTTAGGCTCCAGCTAAGGGAGAGCATGGGAAATTCTGGATTCTGGAGTAATGAATTGTAAAAGGGAATAGATGGTCTGTGGATGATGCAGTGACATAAATTAGCCCCTGCAGGCTGGCAGCCCCCTGCCCAGATTAACCCTTTCTGTGCATCTGCCAGTAACCCCATTGGGCTCAGAGGTAAGAGTGATAGGAGTCCAGGCTGTGGCTGGAAGGGAGTCCAAGTTGAGTGCATCTTGGATCATGTCTCCCAATACTAAAACTTAATTGATTCTCTCCTGCTTGAGACATTGGGTCAGGCTCCGTTCTGGGCGCCTCCCATCTTTTTACCCCCATTCATGCTCACTGTACCTTGTGTGTGTGGGAGGGGGTCGGAGTGTTATATGCTCTCCTTGACATAGAGCAGAACAGTGTGTGAGGTTTCATTCACTTGATTCAGTCACACAGCAAATAAGTGGTGGAAAAACGACTCCACTCTGCTTTGCACTCGAATGCTTTTTTCTACCATGCAGCATCTTGGGGGTTGGCTTACCTGGAAAACTTGAGGTTTCGGTGAAATGGGCTTCTTTGCCCTTAAGGTCTGGGTCATCTCCACCTCTCTTTGCCCCCCAGCTCCATCCCCCAGAGCTAACTGCTCTGTCTCTCCCCAGGTGCCTACAGACCCCCTTGGAGGCCTTGTCCATCACTAACTGCTCGCTTTCAGAAAATGACTTCGCACATCTGTGCCAGACCCTGAACGTCAGTCAGCTGAAAGGCCTGAGTTTCAGCGGGCTCAACCTGACCAATATGAGTTCCGGGCCCCTCCAGCTGCTGATAGAGAGAGCCTCTGCCACCCTCCAGGACCTGGACTTGGATGAGTGTGGGATCATGGACCCCGAGATCACTGACATTCTGCCTGCTCTGAGCCTCTGCTCCGAGCTCACGACCTTCAGCTTCTGTGAAAACCCCATCTCTATGAGTGTCCTGGAGGAGCTGCTGCGCCACACCATTGGGCTGAGCAAGCTGAACCACGTGCTGTATGCTGCCCCCATAGAAAGTTACGAGGAGCTCACCGGCACCCTCCACCTGGGCAGGCTTGCCCAGGTGCACACCACACTGAGGCAGTTGCTGCAGGATTTAGGGCGCCCAGACATGGTCTGGTTCAGTGCTAGTCCCTGTCCTCACTGTGGTGATAGAACCTTCTATGACCCAAATCCCATTCTGTGTCCCTGTTACATGTCTATCTAGCTGGCTGTCCACATCATGGGCTTTATTCTGGGCATTTGGACACTGAAGCCCAGGCATAAGTGCTTCTTAAGGGAACACAGCAGCCACAGTTTGAGACAGCTACTCAGTTTAGGGGGGGGAATGTTGACATGGAGAGTTTATGGTTTTGGGGAGGGTGTGTTCTATAGAGTCAGAAATAGGAATCTGAATATTTAGAGGGGGATTCAGGCTTGGGAGGTACATGTGGGAGTTACTGTTGTTTGAACGGTTGTAAAGAAATAGAAATAAAGGGAACCTCAATGTTAACTGTCTTTGTCTTCTGTGACATGTTATCCTGATTTTCCATTTTAAACCTTAGGAATCTTCAGTTACTGATCAAATGTGGACTTGAACGCTCCTCCCCATTGGCAGCCGGAGCCTCCATCCCTGGCCTTCAGCTGCTCCAGGACAGGGCTTCCCTGTGTACAAGTCAGGCCCCCAGGGGTGTCTACCCTGCCAGTGAGCCAAAGCCTCACCCTCCCCAATCCATTCTTGTCATCCCACTGGGTCCAGCCCCTCCTTGAATTCAGCTACTTGGTGCTAATAACGTCTGCGTTCCTTTCAGCAAAAATCTGAAGATTATATAAGCATCTAACATTTGCTTAGTATATGTGTCCCGTGTTAAATACACATCCTTTTGTGGAGGCTAGGTTGGAACAGTGTGAGAATGACTCCCCAGGTGATCTCCCTGCCTCCCTAGCGAGGTGGTGAGCCAACTCGGAGCCAGTGAGAGTCCCTGAGTTTTGGGCCCCAAAAGTGAACAACCCATGCCAGGTCCCAGAGAGCACTTAAGTGGATATAGGTGAATGCCAGACTTGGGAGTTAGCGAGGAGGGGCCACCCTGAGGGACTACACATCGAAACAAAAAGGAGATGTCATGCTGTGTGGTTGGATCCCATGGTCAGTGGGCAGTTAGCCGCCCAGCAAGGAAGAAGCTCCATGCCCCCCTCCACCCCCAGCCACTATATACTGGCCCTAGGCAGTCTCAGCTCCCTCACGGAGTAGACTCTCAGAAGAGCAGCTGGGAAGAGGGCCACATGCCCAGGCCTAGGGGCAGGCTCCATTTGCATGCTTCCCTGAGGACGAGCGAGCCAGTCCTGCTCGTTCTCCTTTAACTGCCTCACTTAGTGCCAGCCACTTGTGTGTGTGCTGCTGTCTCTGCTGAGTGTCCGCAGCTTCCCGTCTTGCCACGTATAGCAACTGGCCCCTCATCCTCTTCCCATAGCCGTTACCCTCTTCTACCTTCCAGCCCCCTACCCTACGTCCCATGAGAAAGAACCAGAAACGGGCCTGCCAGCTTGTTGGCACACTTGCCATTTCTAAGAAAATGGAAAATGCAGAAATCTCTATAACTGGTGGAAAAAAGGAGGATCGGGAAAAGATGTCTTCTTTTTCCCATCATTCACTGTGTCTCAACATGCCCATCTTAGACCCAAGTTACAATGAATAGTTTCCAGAATGGGAATCAGCAACTCTGGAATTTAAGGAAAAAAATTATACAAAATGGGGAGGTTCTTGGGGAGGAAGGGCATAGGCAAAACATCACATAATCTCAGCATCAGTTCATTCGCACAAAATGGAAATAACACCCCATTACATTGTGGTGAGATTCACCTATGGAGTTAACTTACGTAAAGCACCTGTCAGCGTGCCCTGTTTCGGGATGGCACGTTATACTATTAGTGTTAGTAGTGATTATTAGCCACCAGATGCAAATAGGAAGAAAAACAAAAGCCAATGTTGCATCTTGCTTCATGTCTGGGTTGCGGGTGGGTCCCCAGTGGGGGCTATGCGAGAGGCAACCACACACTGATGTTTCTCTCCCTCTCTCCTTCCCTTCTTCTCCGTCTGGAAATAAAATCTTTAAAAAGAAAAAATAAAACAGGATGTTCTGCAGTTGAGGCCTTGTTTGGTCTGGAGACCTCATTTGAGAAATCAGGCAAAATTCTTTACTGGAATTTAGACTTTTCCATTGAAATACTCAAAGGGGCATAGTGTCAAGGCAATGGACTTTTGAAAACATGTTTAGACAGAGATGTCATCCATGAGGATGGCAATACAAGGCACCTGGGGAGGTGGTAACTGCTGGTGCACAGGGATCATGAAGATTTAGGCCCTATGTGTGGGGGCCTCATTATGAAGCAAGCCAGGAGAGTATGGTACACACAATAGGTTGCTTACTATTAACAATTTACCCTGGAGTCCACTGATCTGCGCAGCAGGCAGGCAGGGTGAACTTAGGGCAGCTGGGGGAGGTGCATGTCTTAGGGAAGAACCTGAATAAAAAACAGCCAGAATACAATCAAATGCAACAGCTCAGGGCATTATCCAGAGGCAGAACCGAGACTGAAAGGATGCCTGAGGTCAGGGCACAAAGAAAAAGTCAAATGGTTTCAAGAGAATGAGTTGGGGGAAATCTGAACTATTTCCTAATGCCAGCCAGAACTGCTGACTGGACCCAAAATCTGAATCAGTATTAGGAACCCAGGTTACTATTACTACTATTAATAAATAATAATAATAATAGGGCTACACAACTGGGTCCTGCAGTCATTGCTAGAGGCACATGTTCATTGTGGAGAGGGGGAGCTGCTGGACCCTAGAGACCTGTCAGTCTAACTAGGGGGTGTGGACCCATCCAAAGCCTATGAAAGCCTGGGAAGTTGATTGGCTCTTTTGAAAAGGCACCTGGTCCATTCCAAACCCAAGCTAATATAATCCCAGGAAACAAAGACTCTCTCTCTCACTCTCTCTCTTTTTCTTTCCCCACCCCCCTCATTCTCTCTCACCCAGGAGCATGTGACTATGTGGCTCTAGCAGCTCTGGGGGCCTGTAGAAGATGATGTGGGCCCCAAAAGAACTAACCTCTCTCTCTTACTCAGGCGACCTGCACTTGCACGGTGCATTCACATATCCTCTCTCCATAGCCAAGTGGCCTTAGCAGCCATGTGGCCCATGACCTTAGGGACTCCATACCCAGGCTTCAGGAGGGAACCTGCATACCACAGCACAGCAGTGGACTGCAGCTGGAAACACACACTAATGTAGCCGGATGCTGGATTGGACTACACTTCAATGTGGAGCAGAAACTCTGGGCCCCAGCTTTTGTGTTGGCCTATGAAGACAAGATTAGACTTTTTCCATGGCAAGACAGCTGGAGATGGGGCATTGGGAAGCCAGGAGGGGAACGCCCTTCATTTTATATCATCCATAAAGCCTACCACAGAGCCTCATCACTCCATGGTGATGAGGAAATTCTCCTCCTGAGGAGACTCCATGGGTCTCAGGAAATTCTTTTCCTCTAGACACTGCAAGAACTCGTTTATCCCCAATAACTACATGAAACTCCCAAGTGCTGAGTAGGTCGACATCTGTCAGACCTCTGTGTGCTCCTCACACTTGTGGCTCTGAGCACCTGCATGGCTTTCTTTTAGTCCAACAGACTATTTCATACACCTTCCTGTGACAAGATAGATCTCTATATTCTTCATTTTAGTCCTACGTGAAGATCCATGCTTGGCTTCTTTTTCCCAGCTCAGTTCCTCCAGAGTTTTGGTTGAGGGATAGAGAAAGGCTTCCATGGAATCTCATAAAAGGACCAAATACATTAGGACGGATCAAGTCTGACTGACATACCACTGCTATTGCCTATCAAACCTCCTCACTCACTGAGCAAGGGGCCCCTTCTCGTGTCTGACGGAGCTGGGGCTAACATGAGCAGCCACTGTACTTTACATCTTTCTGCTTTTCAAAGTCGATGATGTAAATTATCGGATTTTTAAAAAGATTGTATGCATTTATTTTTAAAGATTTATATTTATTTTTAGAGAGAGGGGAAGGGAGAGAGAGAAACAACAATGTGCTAGAGAAACATCAATCAGTTGGTTCTTGCATGCCCCCAACTGGGGACCTGGCCCACAACCCAGGCATGTGCCTTGATTGGGAATGGAACTAGTAACCTTTTGGTTGACAGGCTGGCACTCATTCCACTGAGCCACACCAGCCAGGGTTTATTTATTTATTTATAAGAGAGAGGGGGAGGGAGGGAGACAGGGAAAGAAACATCTATGTGCAGGAGAAACATAAATTGGTTGCCTCTTGCATGAACTAGTGACCTTTCAGTTCATAGGTCAGTGCTCAATCCACTGAGCCACACCATCCAGGGCAGTTACTGGGGTTTTTTTAGTGTGTCTTGCTCCCTTGTATTTTAGTTCCTCTCTCCCCTCCCCTGGCATTTACGCTCAAAAATCATCCTTTTGTGAGTTCTTACTTCAGTGATAATCAAAGCTGAGAGCAGAAGCAGCAGGAAGCTAAAGGCACTGCCACTCGCTGATTACAAAAGCTCAAATCTCTTGTGATAACGCTTTCCCAGGGCGAAGAGAGGAGGAAAACATTTGTGAGAACAATGGGAGAGCCTTGATGGCCTTGGAATTGGAGTAAGGGACAAAGGCTGGCTTGATCAGTGCCCTCCTGAACAGGTGTACCTCCCTAGGCCACATCATAAAGTAGGGTCCAATTTCTTTGTAGCTTTAGTCTGCATGTAATGAGGTGCCAACCTCTCTGTCCTTAGGGCCTGATTTCCTCCTGGGTACAACTGTGATCTCCTTCTAGCTACAATGTTCTTAGACTGACCGAGGTACCCAGCCCTGTTGGGAGATCATCAATCTGACCACATATCATGACCTTTAGTCTCAGAGATGATGTTGAGGTCAAGGAGCTGCCTCCTTGATCACAGCACCACTCGGGGCTCCTTGGGCCATGGGGATGTCCACAGGTGGGAAGGTGGGAACAGGTAATTTCCTGAGCCCAGTGTGCTACCCAGAAGCACTCTGATATTAACTGGTGAGAGGCAGCCTCTATGGTGACCGGCTTTGGTGAAGTCAGGGCCAACATTCCTCTCCCTGACTCCAGGGAATTCCCGTGCTCAAGGCTCATTTTGTGCAGGCTTCTAGAGATAGAGAAAACTGAGAAATCACACACAC